GTTCTATTCTGACCCTAGCCCCACCTTCATTTTAAATTTCGTGAAGATCGGACCATAATTGCGACCTGTAGAGTGATTACAAATTAACATGGACAGACGGACAGACGGACAGACGGACAGACGGACGGACGGACATACATAGCTAGATCGACTCAGCTCGGCGAGCTAGGAAGATCCATATATACTTTCCTATGTGGGAAACCAATATTTCGAGGTGTTACATAATTTTTGGCCCAATCAAACTTATAATACCCCCAACACATAGTGTTGTAGGGTATAAAAAGAATGTGTAATGGTCGTGTTGATTGGATAATTTTATGATGAATTTTCAATCAATCAATAAATTCCAATGTAAATTCATATTTTCAATGTAAATTCAATACAAAGTGTGGACAATTCAAATGGAAAATAAAGAGAAAAATTGAGAAAATAAAAAAATATTTTCCATTTTAGTCAAATTAAAAGTGCACTTTAGAGCTATTTACTTTAACAAATATTCAAAGTAAAATAAAAAATAAAAATTTTTAATGTGATATTTTTACATATTGTTTTTTTTTACTCTACATTTACCTATAAATAGCAACATTATTTCAAACTCGTTTCAAACTCTACATTTACCTATAAATAGCAACATTATTTCAAACTCGTTTTTTTTTTCTTCCTTTACAAAGAAACAAAATTTCAAATTACATTCACAAATCTAGTTGTGTTCGAATAAATGAACTGAATACTACTTTAATTAGTTTTAAGCCAATGGTATTTATTTTCCACTCAATAGATTTGCATTCATTCGTTCGTTCGTTCGTCCGTCCGTCCGTCCGTCCGTTCGGTCATTAATTCATCCATCCATCCATCCACCCATCTATTCGTTGGTTCGTCCATTCTTTGCGTTCTTTGCATTGGCCATTCAAAGAAATTACCTGGCCAAAGAAACAAACAATTGAAGCTAATCAGCAAAAGGTTGTTTGTTTGATAGTAGAAAATTAACTAAAAACAACAACAGCAGCAACAACAACAACAACTAATGTTAAAAATGTTTTGAAAATATTTTCGTAATGAAAGCAAATGAAATGAATGTTAAGAGGAATAGAAAAAAAAGAAATAGTTTTTAATTTAATTACAGGGAGATGTTTGATAACGAACTAATATCGTCAAAAAGATTACAGAGTTTTCAAAAAAGAAAAAAAAAAAAAAACTGGAAAAAAATACATGTCGTTTACAAAGGAGCTTTGAGCATTAGATTTGGGATGATAATTCATGGGATCTAAAAAAAAAACAAGTAAAAAAGCCGTAAGTTCGGCCGGGCCGAACTTTGAATACCCTCCACCATATGGCACAAAAATATGCAATTTTCAAAAAAATAAAATCCATTAAACATTTTGTTAAAATTTTAACAAGTAAGCAAAGGATATAGTCGTGCGGGGCCGATTATGTGACACCCTACAACACTACAATATGTTAGAAGCCCCCTCATCCCCAAATCCATTTTGGAAGATTTCGCTTTTGAAATTATGTCACGGAGCACTGCCCAGATATTACCCTTAGCATTTTGACCAGGGATATTTGACCAACATTTACGCACTCCGTCGTGCTGTTAGTTTTTGTGGTCCATTTTACGGCTAAATATAATCCAATGGTCATCCAAAATGCTGGAATTCTTCACTGTGCTTCTGTTTTTTTTCTGCTTTTCTATCTTCTCATGCGTGTCGATTGGCTTCAATTGTGTGATGATGATTTTTTTTCTGTTTTTGCTTCATTAATATTTTGCGATCATCTCCAAAAGCAATTTGGCTATATTCGTCAACGAAATCAGCCAAAAGTTCGCCTTTTGTGTATTTTGGATATCTCCTGTAAGTAATGTTAGTATTTTTTCACACAAAAGTAGTGGTCCATTCTAACCGCTGTCTTAAATTCTAACTTCATGCAAGATTTAGTGTCCTTTGGTTTCTATGTGTGACCTTTATAACGGCTGCAAAATGAGGAACATTTTGAGTTGCTGGTCCATTCCAACTCCTAAATTTATTGTGGACATCTTCGAAAACAATAGGCATAGCCCTTCTGAGCCTAACCCTACCCTTGTCAAAAATATCGTGAGGATCGTATGATAATTGCAATCTGTATATAAATAATAACCCCTTAATATTGTGCGATCATTTCCAAAAGAAATAAGGTTCTATTCTGACCTTAACCCCACCTACATTTTAAATTTCGTGAAGATCGGGCCATAATTGCGACCTGTAGAGTGATTACAAATTAACATGGACGGACAGACGGACGGACGGACATACATAGCTAGATCGACTCAGCTCGGCGAGATAGGAAGATCCATATATACTTTCCTATGTGGGAAATCAATATTTCGTGGTGTTCCATAATTTTTGGCCCAATCAAACTTATAATACCCCAACACAAAGTGTTGTAGGGTATAAAAATGCCGAATGTAGCCGTATATTAGGGTCTATATGACGACTTGGACCTGCATATGCAACTTTTGTGATAAGCCTGCACAGACAATTTTCTGGCAAAGCCTGTAGTAACCATAACGAACTTCAAATGCGAAATTTGAAACAATTCCTGTAAATAATGTCGCTAAAAACATCAAAATACCGAATATCGGGGGGTACCGTTATATGGGGGCTATACAAAGACGTGGACCTGCTCAGACAATTTTCTGTCATAGGCTGTAGTATTCATTACGAACTTCAAATACTAAATTTAAAATAGTTCCGGTGAATAATGTAACTAAAATCATTAATATTCCGAATATCGGGAGGTGCCTTATAAAGGGGCTATACGAAGGTGTGGACCTGCACGGACAATTTTGTGTCATAGGCTGTAGTATCCATTTCGAACTTCAAATACCAAATTTGAAACAATGGCAAATTTCGGGAGGTACCGTTATATGGGGGCTACGAATTGTAGACCTGCACGTATATTTTTTTGCCATAGGCTGTAGTATACATTAAAAACTTCAAATACCAAATTTGAAACATTTGCGGTGAATAATGTCGCTTAAATTACTAAAATACCAAAAATAAGGAGGTACGCTTATATGGGGGCTATACCAAAACGGAAACCTACATGGTCCATTTGCAATACCTAAAGTCCTGCAGACATAATATACATTTGAGTAACATTTTATCAACTTACTTCATTTCGTTCGGAAGCTGAAGTGATTTCCACTAACGGACGGACATCGCTAAATCGACTTAGGATTTAATGCTGATCAAGAATTTGGGTCTGACATGAGTATTTCGAGGTGTTACAAACGGAATGACAAACATAATATACCCTCCATACTAGAGGATATAAAATTGAGATGTGCCAAGTCTGAATGAAATTGGATGTTAATTTCGTGTTTTATGAGCTTCATCGTTACTCAAAATGTTGACCTTTTGTGGGAGAGGTACCAGAAGAAGTGCACCGATATATTCCATCTTCTCACCAGACCTTTGGTGAATAAAAATATTGTGATGTGGGTAATTTGAAAAGAACCGGATGATTATTTTGTATTTTATGTTCGTTTTGGTTATTCAAAATTTTGACCATTTGTGGGGGAAGTACTAGAAGGAATGGTCCGATATATTCTGTCTTCACACCAGACCTTGGGTCAAAAGAAATATTGTGATGTATTTTATAAGTTATAAAATGTGAGGGACATCAATAGATCGATTTCAAATGTCCTGAGACGGATTTGGTCCAAAGAAACCTAGGGTATAAAATCCTTATTTCGATAAGGCACGTTTTGGCCTCTAATCAAATGATATACAGGGTGAAATAAAAAAACTGCAACAAAGTCGAACACCAATAATTGCCTGCGGTTTTTGCGCATCCCCGGCGAAGCGCTTGCTTTAGGTGATCGACACTTTGGTATTTTTTAATACCAACCTTGCTTTCCAAAATACTCCAGACATAATATACCAACGGATTGGTATCCGTAGATTTTGGTGGCTATTGTGCGTTGGAAAGGAAGCGAGGAACCTCAATTTGTAAAAATTCTTAGGTGGCGCGTGCTGAGTGCGATGGTACTGAGTCCTGTTGGAATGTCCAAGGTCTGCGGCCATAATATTTGCATGCCCAAGGCTTTAATACACCCTCCAGAACTTTTTCGCTATAATATTCGACATTTATTCTGATTCCATTTATTTGATTCTGATTCCGATTAAGACGAGCGGAGAGCGACCATCGGCTGTTATGGCGGCCCACACCATCACCATGGCCGGCGCTTGAGTTTTGGTGGCCAACCGAAGATGCACATTTCAGCATAATTTGGTTTGTTTAAAAATTGCCGGACAACGAATTTTTTCTCATCGGAGAAAACCAAATTCGGCGGTTCACCACTTTCGGCCAAGCGAAGCAACTCTTTAGCTCTTTTGAGTATATTTTCTTTCTGTTGCGGTGTAAGTTCTTGCACTTTTTGGAATTTCAATGGCTTTACCCCGAGCTCATTTTTCAATATTTGCCGAATGTAATATTACGATATGCGGCGCGGGGTTCGATTAAGTCGCTTCTTTACTTTTCGAATCATTTCTGCTGATGTTGCTGTTGTCTTCCGTCCACTTTCTTGACGTCGGGCTACGCTGCCAGTATCTTGGTAACAAGTGACTTGGAAGTTGGTTGCAGTTTTTTCATCTCACCCTGGCACTATGGCTGATGTTATAAAAATAATTGGATTAGAAATTTAATGATTTTATGGCTATTATAAATTTATTTAACGTTGCATCATAATCTCATTATCAATATATATCAAAGGCAATACCTAATTAAAAAGAAAAATCGAACATACCACTCATCGGATTATCTAGAGCATCGAAAAACTCGTATTCAATGAAATACTTCTTATGGAATTACTAGGCCATGCATGGCTTAACACTTAACCATGGGCCAGTTTTATGTTATTTATTTAATAATATATTATATATATATAAAAACTTTTCACATGCATTCCCATATTGATAAATATATTTTTTCGCTTCTCTATCCTCTCCGTTATTTTCCAGGTGAATCCTCGGCATCGGCGGTCACTTCATCAGCTCCAGTTACCACAAAAACCTACTCAGCATGTAGTCTGGTATTGATATTCAGTGTTATTATGATTGGTGGTCATCGGACATGACATGCTTAGATAAGGATACTCACATCAGCAACAGCAACAACAACAACACCACAAAATCCATAAACTACACAAATGAAACATCAGAAAACATAAAAAAAATAAATTTATTAAATAATTGCTGCAAAATCAGAAACAAAACCAATCCAAACAAAAACAACAACAGAACAAAATTTATTGAAATAAATTAAAAAAAGAAAAACAAAACTGAAAAATTAAGTAAATAAACAAAATAAATATCTGCCAACACAACCGATGATTAAAATAAATCAAACACTTTAATTAGTACGAAAGTATAATAATAATAATAACGATAATACTGATAAACATTAATTTAATAAAAACCAAATGAGAAAAAAAAACTCGAAAACCAAAATAAATATAATCTAAATAATTTTTAAGTTAACTACATAAATAATAATGTTTTAAATAATATTGAAAAAAATAAAAAACAAATGATGAAAATGAGAAAAAAATGAAAAATCCAACAACAATAAATGACATGAAACTATTGATATAAATATATATATGATATACATAAATAAAATAAATTAATTAATTAAAATAAAAAAGAAAAACATTTTTAAGCAAACCATATTTTTTATTTTCTTTGTTAATTATTTGTTTTCTTTAATTATCGTTAGCAATTTGTTTCATAATTGTTTTCCTTTAGTGGTTATTTATTTCAAAATGCGATAATTTTATATGGGTATCGATATTTTGTACATAACGTCCTTTTTTTTTAAATAATATTGAAAACCATTTCATAATAATATAGAACTAATTTTTGGTAGTCAACTGATTTTCAAAAAATTCAGAGATATTTAAAAAATAATTAAAAATGCTATCAAAAAGAATTTTACACCATTTTTAACTGTAATTCAGAAAAACCAGTTGTATTTCAGAAATTTTAATTTCTTATATTTTATTGAATTGGTCATGTTACATTTGGAATTAAGAAAATTAATTCTAAATTCAGAAATTCGACTTAAATTTCAGATAAACTATTGTTTTATCAGTTGGTTGTTTTTATGCGGATATCGATTATTTGTACATATAATATCTTTAACAACCATTTAATGTATTACTGATAAGAACTAATTTTCGGCAACCAGTTGATCAAAAAAAAATTACAGAAATTAAAAAATTATTCTAAAAATATTTTGAATGCATTCTACACAATTTTCATGCGTAATAAAAAAAACAGTTGTGTTTCGGAAAATAAATTTCAAATTCAGATATTTCAAATAATTCATTTGAAATCTATATAACATATTTAAAACTCAAAAAATATTGAAATTGTAATTAAGATTTCTATTTTTATACCCTCAGCCATATGGCTAAAGAGTGTATATATCATTTGATTATACCGTCGGCCAGCCAGACAGACGGCTGGCTGGTGCGCATCACAACTCTCGAAGGAAGTATCCGATTTGATCCAAACTTGGTACATCGTCCACCCCACACAAAATGTCAAAATTTTTAAAGAAAATAATTTATTGCACAGAAAGAGAAAGGATAATCCCATTTTGCTCGAACTTTGCGAATCCTAATATTTCATCAGTCCAATCCAAACTTGGTACATCGTAATATTTTTGTCAAACTTAGATCGAGTTCGGAGATGGGCAATATCGGTCTACCCCACACAAAATGTCAAAATTTTTAAAGAAAATAATTTATTGCACAGAAAGAGAAAGGATAATCCGATTTTGCTCGAATTTTGCGAATCCTAATATTTCATCAGTGCTAGGTCAAGTGCGAAAATGGACAATATCGGTCCACTCCATCAGGGACCTCCCCCCTACAAAGGGTCAAAATTTTCAATAATTACAACTCTTATAAAATGTGATGTAAGAGTCCGAGTAAATTTCACACATCCCAATAATTTTAGTAGCACAAGGTCTGGTGTGAAAATGGAATGTATCGTCCACTCCTTCTGGTACCTCCCCCAAAAAAGGTCCAAATTTTAAAAAAATATATATAAAATATATTTTTATTGGCACAAAAGAGAAACGATTACCCGATTCTGCTCAAACTTTGAAAATCCTAATACTTGCGTCAGTGCTAGGTCAGGTGCTAAAATGGACAGTACCGGTCGACTCCATCAAGTACCTCCCCCACAAAGGGTCACAATTTATATTTATTTTCTCATAACTTGTGGAAATAGTCAAAGGGGTTAAAGTATTATGTCTTTGTGATTTTTTTTTCCTTTGTGACATGGAGATGGAAGTTACTTTTGGGGATCTTCATAGAATCACTTTCTGAGTCGATTTATGTATGTCTCTCCGTCCGTCTGTCTGTCCATGTATTTTTGTGAAAAAAATTCAGGTTGCATTTGTCATCCGATTGAGATGAAATTTTCCAAACAATATTTGTTTGGCCCAAGGACGAACCCTGTTCGTAAAGTTTCGATATACAGCTTCATCCGATTTTACGGTTATTGTTCGCCATATATGTAATATCAGCCCAAACTATATAGATTTTGTCATATTCAACTGAACTTTACCATTTGGTGAAACTCGGTCCGGTATACCTATTGTTCCAATAAATATTTTTTAATAAACCTTATCGAAGTCATATCATGACTATACAGCAATGAGGTACAAAGGCTCCGTCAAATTTGTTAAAAATCGATTAGGAGTTGGATACAGTTCCTTAATTGTGACTTTCTTAAGGTTCATAGTTGTTATGATCTACTTCATATAAATTCCCAATATGAACTTTTTTGTTACGTTAGCTCTACTAAATACGCATAGTGGTGTAGGGTATAATATAGTCGGCCCCGCCCTTTTTGATCTTTCCTTGCTGGTCTTAAACATAGTTTTGGAAATAGTTATTTCCATTGCAGAAGGGATAGAAGAGTCCGAAGGCTAACATTTTGCACAGATGTTTATTTTTCCAGTAGACAGGTTAAGTTCGTAAATGGGCTATGTAGGTCCACGTTTTCATATAGCCACCATGTAACGGTACCTCCCGATATTCGGTATTTTGATGATTTTAGCGACATTATTCAGCGGAATTGTTTCAAATTCGGTATATGAAGTTCGAAATGGATACTACAGCATATGACAGGAGATTATCTGCGCAGATTCACGTCTTCGTATAGCCCCATATAACTGTACCACCGATATTCGGTATTTAGATGATTTTAGCGACATTATTCACCGGAATTGTTTCAAATCTGGTATTTGAAGCTCGTAATGGATACTACAGCCTAAGACAGAAAATCGGTCATGTAGGTCCCTATATTCGATGTTTTGGTGATTTTAGCGTCATTATTCACCGGCATTTTTTCAAATTACGCACTTAGAGTTCGTAATGGAAACTACAGTCTGTGACAGAAAATTGTCTATGCAGGTCCAGGTCTTCGTATAGGCCCCATATACCAGTACCTCCCTAAATTCGGTATTTTGACAAGTTTAGGTACAATACTCACCGAAATTGTTTGAAATGTCGTATTTGAAGTTCGTCATGGATGCTACAGCCTATGACAGAAAATTTTCTATGCTGGTCCAGGTCTTCGCACAGCTTCGATATAACGGTACCTTCCTATATACGATATTTTGATGATTTTAGCTAAATTATTCACCGTTTATTTCAAATTCCGAATTAGAATTTGGTAATGACTTATGACAAACAATGCCTGCGTGGGTCCATATCGTACAGACACCAATATAACGGCTATATTCGGTATTTTTAAAATTTTAACAGATTTTTGTAAGGATTTTATTTCCAATTTTTTTCCAAATAGTGGAGGGCATTCAAAGGTCGGCCCGGTCGAAATAACTGCTTTTTAACTTGTTCATTTTAAAAATTTGTAAATGTTTTGTTTAACATATCTCCCGTTTTTACAATCCCCAGAAGTCAATGTTCCAAAAGACCCCTATGAAACAGTGCAATGTGTTATGAAGTTTACTAAAATGTTAACATGTTCAATGGTTTAAAAATTATACAATTTATTTAACAATAAAATGAAAATTTCCATTATTTTCCAAAGCTCAATGTGTTTGAAACGATTGCATTTAGTTAACCTAGTTTATTTAACAAAAATTCATTGCAAATGAACTGTTGTCGAGAGTTGGTCAAATTTTTAGGATTTTTTAATGCCTTAAGAATATTTTGTTTGAAATACAAAAATCCATGTGAATTTCAGGAATTTTTCATAATTTTTTTGTTTTTAAAAACAAAACTGAAATGGAAGAAAAAAGAAGAAAACACTTTCACACACAACTACAAAAGCCCATCAAAGATTTTCATTTTCAATGTATTTTTAAGAAAGAAAAAAACAAGCAAAATTCTTCTTAATAACCTTAAGAACAGTATAAGTAAATCTTTTAACAAAAAAAAAAAAAAAAAAAACAAAAATTCCCTGAAAAGAAAACCCAGAAAAAAACACACACACATACACACACTCTCTGTGCACAGACACATTCAAAATGAGTCTGTAAGTGAGTGTGATAAAAACTATAATAATATTTATTATAATCTAGGAGTAAATTTAAATTTAAATACAAACTAACACATTTTTCAGATAACAAAACGACATAACTACATACATACAAAAAACCCTACATACACACATCCACACACACATTCCGAACAATAAAAATAACAAACATCACAACTAAATTGAAATTAGTAATTGAATTTCTACTTACTGTACATATAAATATAGAAAACAAAAGAAACAAGATTTAGAAATAAACCAAACAAAAACAACAACAACAACAACTGAGCAAAAATTCGAAATGGAAAAATTAACAAAAATAAATGCAACTAAAAATTTAATATAAATTTGAAAAATAAATAAAATGAAAACCAAGAACAACAAAAGAGAATAACAAAAAATCCCAACAAAAACAAAACCAAGAAATGACTATATATGTAATGTGTATTTACGTAAATATAATAGATATATTATACATATGCATACATACATTCACATATACATATATAAATATATATTTAAAAATGGAATAATACTGATAATTTGACTAAAAAAATAAAAATAATAATAATAAAAATTAAAATAAAAATACAACCAAAATAGTTATAATTAAAAATAACAAGAAAAACACATTCCGATGGCATTTTTATTTGTTTTTGTAATAATGCGGACGGGTGGGGGTGTGTGTAAGTATTACAGATTTTCTATTGGAGATTTTCGAATCAAAAAATATATTTTGAAAACAGAGATAAATTAGTATTTAATTAAGTGTGTGTGTCTATTAAGTATCGAACTATTGGGTTGGATGCAGATTAGCATTGGCTATATTGCACATGGGCTTCATTGAAAAGGGACCGCTTCAGATAACAAACAAGTAAAAAAATATTAAGTTCGGCCAGGTCGAACTTTTAATACCCTCCACTCCAGGGTAAAGGAAACATTTCTTGGGAAAATGTGGCGAAAATCTTCAAAATACGGATTATCGGGAGGTACCGCTATATGGGTTTATACAAAAACGTGGACCTACACATACAATTTTTCGCCAAGGGAGCTATAGCCCATTAGGATCCAAAAATACCAATTTTTAGACAATGCGCGAAGGAATGTTGCAGAAAGCATCAAAATACCGAATATCGGGAGGTACCGTTATATGGGTGCTATACCAAAACGTGACATTCAGGTCTTATGTCCACAAAAAAATGTCTCCAGCACTCCTATAGAAAATAGAAGACCTTCAGGTCTCCTATAGACAATAGAAGACTTTTATAGGTATCGT